GTATTTACATAGGTTCTATGTAGTTTAATAGTATCTGAGTTATTAGAATTTTGTAAAAAAGAAATAAAAATATTAATAGATAAAGGATTAATAACACCTTCAAAATCACCCTGGAGTTGTGCTGCATTTTATGTAATGAATCAAGTTGAAAAAGAAAGAGGAGTTCCAAGATTAGTTATAAATTATAAACCCTTAAACAAAGTTTTACAATGGATTAGATATCCCATTCCTAATAAAAAAGATTTGCTCAATAGATTATTTAATGCAAAAATATTTTCAAAATTTGATTTAAAATCAGGATATTGGCAAATATTAATATCACCAAAAGATAGATATAAAACAGCATTTACAACACCTTTTGGCCATTATGAATAGAAAGTCATGCCATTTGGATTAAAAAATACACCATCAGAATTTCAAAATATAATGAATGATATTTTTAATCCTTATAGTTCATTCAATATTGTTTATATAGATGATGTATTAATATTTTCTGAATCAATAGAACAATATTTTAAACATTTGAATATATTTTTAAAAATAGTTAAGAAAAATGGATTAGTGGTTTCTGCTCCAAAAATGAAATTATTTCAAACTAAAATAAGATTTTTAGGACATAATATATATCAAGGAACAATAAAACCAATTAGTAGAGCTTTGGAATTTGCAACTAAATTTTCAGATGAAATAAAAGATAAAAATCAATTACAAAGGTTTTTAGGATGTCTAAATTATATAGCAGATTTCTTTCCTAATTTAAGAAAAGAATGTTCTATATTATTCAATAGATTAAAGAAAAATCCAAAACCTTGGACAGATGAACATACTCAAAAGATAAAATATCTAAAAGCAAAAATAGAGTCATTACCATGTTTATGTCTATCTCATCCTAAAGCATTTATGATAGTTGAAACAGATGCATCAGAATTAGGATATGGTGGAATATTAAAACAAAAGATAATAGAGTCAAAAGAAGAATTAGTTAGATTTCATTCAGGAACATGGTCTGACCCTCAAAAGAATTATTCAACAATTAAAAAAGAAATTTTATCAATAGTTTTATGCATATCAAAATTTCAAGATGATTTATATAATAAGAAATTTTTAATTAGAATAGATTGTAAATCTGCTAAAGAGATTTTACAAAAGGATATTCAAAACATAGTTTCAAAACAAATATTTGCAAGATGGCAAGCCATTTTATCTGTTTTCGATTTTGAAATTGAATTTATTAAAGGAGAAAATAATTCATTACCAGATTTTTTTACTAGAGAATTTTTACAAGGACATGGATCGTGACCTTATTGCTCAAAGAACTGATCGTGAATTTACAAATTATCTGAGAACCCAAAGAGATTCTCCTAGATTACTAAACAAAGAAGCAGTTTTACAATCCAGAGGATATCAATATTTCATTCAGACTAGTGATGGACGACAAAGGATTCCAGTCTATCAAATTCCAAAATATGATACAGTATATATTCAGCAAAGCCATTTCACAACTCTTACTCCAAAAGAGAAAGCTTTTCTCATACAGAGAAAAATTCAGAGAAACCTGATTAGAATTCAAGTTCTTCGGAGAGTTGGAAGAAATGAGGAAATTCTTCAACATTACAAGGATCAAAATAAACAACTATCTAACCAATTAAAAGATATTATTTACTGATTTTGCAGGAATATGGATTCAAAAGCAGGAAACTCTAGACTTAAGACTTCTCAAGATTATGAGATGAGTCTTACTCCTGTAACTCAAAATAAATTTCAAATACTACAAGATTTTTCAGTTTTGACTTACAGTCAAGCTACTCGCACACTAATTTCCTCTCAAATAAGATCAATCCAACAAATTCCAAAAATTTCAGAAAAATCCAATGAAAATACCTACTTTACTAAACCATTCCATCAGCATATTACAATAACCAGATTCCAAGAAATACCTTTGTATTCTACACTCAATCAGTTTACTCAAAGAATCTTTCCTCAAAAATGTTTTTGGCAGCCTGATGATCCTTCAAAAAATTTGGATTATTATGAATTAATTCTTAAAGATACTCAATCTGTAGAAATATTTCCCATTCCAGATAAAAAGAATCCAAATATTATTAGTCATTCAAAGTGTATAATAAAGAAAGTTTGTTTACCTAACGGATGGACTTCTCTTTATTCCAAAAAATCATTTTCAGTTAGATTCATTCCAGATGGATTTACATATCAAGATTACAAGATGGCATGGTATCGTGCGTTTCTATACAGACCATTCAACCATTCATGGTTCTTCACATTCAAAGAGAATTGTAACAGAGAATTTCCAATTTGGTTTAATCATTGGTGGTAATGGGTCGGACCTCAAAAGGAAATACTACCTCCAAATGTATTAATGGGATTCCAGACGTATCTCAAAAAAGCAGAGGGGGAAGAGTATACAAGGCCAATATTATTTCATGTGAAATTCAAAGTACCATGGATTTTTTGCTGGAGTTTTAAAATTCATCAAGAGTTAGAAAAATCAGTTCCAATGTCATTCGTCAGAGAATTCAAAATTAAATGGTGGACATGATTCAATCAAGAATTTGGAGACCAAGCAAACGTGATAAGATTTCTAACAACTGGAGACAAACTCAAGTGGACAAGTCAGCCAACTACTCCAACCACTCCAACAACTCCACAAATGCCAACTATTCCAACAACTACAAAAAAGAAAGACAAAGAAAAAGTTACTAATATGGCATCCGAGCCAATTGCAAACGACTTTTTAATCAAAAAGATGATGCATGATCCCGAGATGCTTAAAGAATATCTGAATTATTTACAAAAGCAGGATAAAAGTGAAGAAGATGACAAAATTGAAGAGACAGCTGGATCATCTGAATCTACTTTTGATCCTTTCGGTGGTCCCTGCGGACAAGACCCAAATGACTTTTGAGAAAGATGTCGGCCACATTTCAAATGAAAGCAAGATGAAATGCAAATACAAATGAAATGCAAGAATGACTGACTCTATAAATAGATTCAAAATCAGAAGATCAAACATCGGTGAAATCTTGCAGTACAGAGTCTTAAGCAAATCCTTCTTTCTTTCAACCACTCTTTGTATTCAACTAATTTTGTATCATTCACCAAATATTTTAATAAGAAGGTCAAAGTTTACGAGAATTCTACAATCAACAGCTTCCGTTATCAAAAGCAACTCTAAATTTTGTAAGTTCTATCTTAATATAAATATTTCATGTTCATTTCAAGTTCAAGTTTTAGTTCTTGCGTATGATCTAATATTGATAGTTTATCTTGAAGTGTTAGAGTATTATCCCACCAATTTTTTAATTGTCTAGTAAATTCTGAAACTAATAATGTTGCAATATTCCTTTCTTGAATATTTTTAATTTTATAAGCTAATCTAGCCATTCCCATTTCTTGCAGATTATTTAATACTTCGTATTCTGCTTTATCGTCTATATTCCATTCATAAATTGAGAAATACTACCTCCAAATGTATTAATGGGATTCCAGACATATCTCAAAAAATCAAAGGGGGAAGAGTATACAAGGCCAATATTATTTCATGTGGAATTCAAAGTACCACGGATTTTTTATTTCAAATTCACTAGGTATAGTAATTTCATTCCATTTTAATCTTTTTGGAGTATAAGTTGTAGGTCTATCAGCATCTACTTATAATAAAGTTGTTTCTTCTTTAAGAGTTGGAGTCATTATAAATTTGGGATTTAGATGTGAGGATAAAGGTCTATAATATATTCTATATATTACTGCAAAATTCTTTGTGTGTTTTTCAAATTCATTTCCTTGTAGATGAATATCTAATATGACTGAATTCAAAATATGTGGATCTGTTAAATCTATTGAAAAATTTGGAGCACTGTTAAAATATATGGGTCCATTACAAACATTTGTTTGAATCATAGAAAGTAAAGAGATTTTATATTTTTTAAATCTAGTGTCTCTTAATGCCAAATATATTGGAGCATCGACTACTAGATGGAATAAAGGTTTTACTGCAATTTGTATTAAACCTATATGAATATATAGATATCCTTTACTTAAATATTTTTGAATTGTACTATGATTTAATAATAGAATAGATTGATATTCTGTGAGGACCCAAAAAATTTTTTTTTCTTATTTTATTTTATTTTACTGGTTTAATAATTATTTAATTCGACTATTTAAAATCCATTTATATGAAAAAACGCTCCTCTTATGTTTTTAAAATATTTTGTTAGAAAGTTACTTTTCGAAAACTCGTTTAGTTCAAAACAACGAGTACACATTTTTCGAGACTATATTTGGATTGATTGTGTATTAATTTTAGAAAAATAAAAATGATCAATAGTAGATTAAGAAAAGTCGTGAGGACTCGAAAAGAATTTATTTATTTTAAACTTCTGTTACAAGCTTATTTAAATATTTAATTGCTTGTTTGTCTTGAATATTATTTTCTAAATTTTTTAGATCCAATTACATGGAACTATAACTTTTATGTATTTTTAAAATGACTTGTTATGAAAATTAATTTTTGAAATCGCGTTTAGTGAGAATAGTGAATACGCGTTTTCGAGACAGTAATCGATTGGAGGATATAGTGAGTTTGGAAAATTGGAAACTTATATAATGGTCTTAAAATATGTATTTTTATGCTTAAGTATTTAAGTGATAATTATTAGAACCATCATTATAAGAATTTCTTGGATATTTCACTTTATCGTGCTTAAATTGGAAATACGCGTATTTATGCACGCGATTTAATTGAGACTTAAGACATTTAATTTTAGACCATTAAGAGTGAATAATAATAGTATGAATACAAGTGCATTGGAGGTTTAGTACACAAGTGAAACAAACTCGAGAGGAATCGAACACAAAACGCGCGGCAAAGAGTTGACATTTGAATTAATGAGAGCCACACATTTTAGTTTCACATGGGAGCATCACACTAGATTAAAACTCTCCACATACTTAGCTCAATTGCTGACTCTTTTTCTTCCATTCCAGCCGTGCACCTCAAGAGAGAAAAGAACCAAGTTTCTTCTTCAATTTCTTCTTCAAATCTTCACTAATTTTTCACCAAATCACATCAAACTTTGAACACACATTGCTAAACACTTGGTGATTATCTTAAACTAGAAGAAGGACATCATCTCACGATTTTTCTTAGAGTTTTTTGTGACCAAAATTTCTGATTTTATCATCTAAAGAGGTAATAGACGATCAACCTCTTGAATCTTAGTTTATGGAAGTAGTATTGTACTTATAAGCTTGTATTTTCATGTGGGTAGCTTTATTTATATTGAATTTTGGTGTGTGGGCTCTATGAATTCCCACTTTTGATAGAAGGACTGATTTGATGATTGATGATGAAATTAATGGTGGTTTAGTGTTTAAATTAGTGGATTAATGTTATATTGTTGGTAGAAAATCAAAGGAGGTGCTTGGAGCAAAAGTGACCATTTTACCCCTGCCTTGTCCGACCTTTTTTTTTGTGCAAAATTTTGAGGTTCTAATGGCTTGTTTATATTATTTACATGTTATATTGGTTGTGTAAAAAGTTTCATTGAAAAATAACTTGTTTTGGTCACCCAAATGTTGGATTTACGAAAGCTTAGAAATTTGGAAACTATTCCTGTATTCATCCAGACAGTGTTTTTGTTTTGGTTATATCTTTTTATTCCGATGTCAAAATCGAGTGCTGTTTGCGGAACTGGAAACTAGACATCCCTAGCTTTCTAATGGTATAAAATACACATCCTGATTCTACTCGAACAAACCATACCACTCATTTGAACTTGACTGTTCTGTTTCTCGGGTTCACTGGAAGGCAGAACAGGAACTACAACTTGATGCTCAAATTGGGGCTAGTTGTGGATAGATTTCGTAAATAGTTTCTTCTGATAAATTTTATCTTTATGAATGTGTTTTCTAACGCCATCAACCACGCTCAATTTTGAGTTGAATTGAGTGAGTTGTGGCCAAAGTTTGAAACTGACTCAGTTATGAAATTCTTCATTTTGGACTGATCCTTAACTAATCTTAGTTTGGGGTTTGTTATCCGAAATTTTTGGTGTTAATCATCTATCAAATGTACTTTGGACATATTTTAGACATTATCTACTGAAATGAACCGTGTTTGAGGTATTTTATTGGCCAAACGTTTTGAAAACGGAAAAACGGAAGTCCAAGGCAGATTTGCCGAAGAACTTCTTGGGACTTTAGTGATTTCGTTAACCAACTTTCCGAATGAATTTTCGTATGAAATTTGGTAGAGAAATAGCCCTTATATGGTAGGATAATACTACCAAATTTGGTGCCATTCTGAGTCCATTTCGATATTCAATCAAAGTCCCAAATTTGTGAATTAAACTTGGAATTTACGTAACAGTTTCACATTTTCACTAATTTTGAACTACCATATCTTGGTGCTCAAAACTCTGATTCTTTCTCCACTTGTTTTGTTTTAAACTTTGATTATAACTCTAATTGAGTTACAAATTTTGGAGGCTGGTTTGCAACGTGTGAATTTTACCTAATTTCCAAAGTTGCCCAGAAACCAACCTTGAAACTGTCTTGGTATTCTAAAGCAGTAACTTTGAGCCAACTTTTGAATGTCATTCATTTGGAATTATGGAAAAGTTCTTCTAGAAACTTTTAGTAATTTGGATGTAGTTTCCAACGGTACTAAGTTTTCCAATTTTGGACTCATAGAGAGTGAGATCTGATTTTTCAAAATTTGCTTGCCGAATCTGAAATTTCCGAACTTAAAGGAAATTAAGGGTTTCAAACTCTTCATTTTCCTCCGATATTGCTAGACCATTTTACACTTGATTTCAAAGGCAACAATCAGATTTCTCTTGTGTTTTTGAACGCCACTACCGAGCCTCGATTATGAATAATTAAGGCTCAATTCATGAATTTTCCTTAGATTATACACTAGTACAACATTCTTTGATAAGTAGAGGTTCTAAGTGATAGTGTATAATAATTGATGGTTATTTGCTTAGGCGCCCAAGGAAACCTTCAAGAGGAACTCGAAGTGGACGCCTAAACACTTTTTTGCGTACTTACTCACTTGTTCTGAATAAGCGAGTGTTCCATATAGGAGTACGTAATTTGAATAAGTCTATGACATGCTTATTCCATGATCATTAAGTGTTAAGTGCTACATGTTAAGTATTTACCACACTCATGCATATTTAAGTAAGGTATATTTGAATTACTCGATATGAAATGTTTGAAGAGCATATTTACATGACTACTTGAATTACTCGATATGAAATACTTGATTTGCATATTTATGTGATGTGTTTAAATGATTAATTATGCTATGGCAGCTCAAGTCGATTGGAGTGAATCTTCTCGACTCTTACATGGTAATAGTGGGACACGGCCAAATGCGGCCTATTAAAATGACATATGTCTACCAATTAACTATAATTACTATCGTTAACCGTTTACCGTTTACCGTTTACTATTTACCGTTAACCGTGTTTACTTACCGTTTTCTAATCTATTTGACTACCTGCTTACTTGATTACTTGATTACCATAAATTACATGTTCACATGAAATTTTTAAATATTACTTATGTGTTTATGTGTTAATTATTGCTAGTAATTGCTCATATGAAATTGTCCACCATTTTAAGGCGAGTGTGCATTTTATCTCACTCGACCTACCAAAAGAATAAATTTTTACTGTTTGCCAAATTATTTGATTACTTGTGCATGCTGTAAGCTCTAAACTGAACTTGGGTCCTACCTTTGGTTACTGACCTACTCGAGTCAGGACTGGGCTCGGTCGGGTAGGTTGGAACCCTGAGTCACCGTTTCGGTATACTCGAGTCCCGTCCTCCTTTTGATAAGAGTCAGTTCCTTCACTACTCGTACTGGAATTCTATTCTTGACTGGATCAGTACTACCACTGAAAGGATAAGGCGATGGCCAGACAGTACCGTGGGGATCCGGAAGTTATAAGGTGTAGATGACCGACATGGTTTCACTGGAACACCGTATCCTTCAATGTGTGTTTATTTTACATAATGATAACCGTTTCATGCAAATGTGCCATACCTGTGATATGCTCAAATTACTTGTACAATGATTATTGTCTCATATTAATATGTCAATGTGCAACCTTGAACCATACATGCAGTATGCTCAATTACTTGATTTATTAGAACTGCTAGAGTGTTTTGGAACCTCACTGGGCTGTGTAGCTCATCCCACGTTTTGGATTTTTTTAATAGGGTTCGAGACCAAGAGTGCACGTGAATAGTACTAGATTGCCTTCTTTTGAAGATTTTAAATTGTATTACAGCAGATGGCTGTAGTAAATATTCTTTTGAGATGTATTAAGCTTGAGAGCTGATTAATTGTAAGTGTGAGATATTTTGGAGTACTTTTATTATGTATTGAAGTTATTTGAAGTATTATTGAGGTATTCCGAGTTTGTGAATTGTGGAATGTAATGAGTCCTGGCGAGAGTTGGGCAGACGTCCCGCGGATACCCTTTGGTTCGCTTTAGGGAGAAGTGGGGCGTCACATATTTTTCTTGAATAGATATTGTTTTTTCATGTGTTTTAACTGATAAGGCTGTTTTGAAATCTAAAGGATCTATTCTATAAATATGTTCTATTTTTTCTTCTAGAATTGTCCAGTCTGAATTATTAACAGGCATATGATATTCATGACTTTGTACTATATTATCTTGCTTTGAATTAGATCCTATTTTTAATTGTCTAAGAAATGCAGCCATGTTTTATATTTATTTAAAGTTTTATCTAATCAGGAACAACTGAGCACTATGCCGGGAACATCCTATTTTGGACTTACCAACGGTCTAATAAGGCATCAAAGTCTTACCAATGATTTCAGTAAAATTTTAATTAAATATGCAAACATAAATGCATAAATTAGCAAATTTAAAATAGAAAGTAATTATGCAAAGGGGATTCTTCTATAGATTTTAGTTATCATTTTAAAACAAAATGATAATAGAGTCAAAAGAATTAGTTAGATTTCAAGTAAAAAGGGTAGAGAAGCTGAATGTACAAATAACACTATAAATTTAGAAGATATTAAAAAAATTTATCAACAAAATAATTATACAAATCAAATTCTTCATACAATTTCTCAACATATGGAAGTATTAAATACAAAAATAGATACACTAAAAAACCCAGAATCTAAATTCCCTAATGATATTTCAGCACCTCATTTTCAACCTAGAAGTTTAACAAGAGAAAAAGAACAAGAGTTAATCCAAAATATTAATAATCAAAAAATAAATAATACAGATAATATATTAAACAGAATATCTCAATCATTGCAAAATTTAACTGCACCCCAAACTCTAAAAATAAATACATTAGAAAAAATAATAGAAGAAGAGAATTCATCTGAAGAATCAATAAGTTCAGAAAATAAAGAAGATATGATCTTACCAATAGAAGAACAATTCGTAGGAAAAGAAGACAATCAAATAAATAAAATAAGAAGAAAAAGAGTTTATAATAAAAATAGTAACAAAGATTGGAAAATAATAAGTACTAGAAATTATTATTCAAGACCTAGTCCTCCAGATATTCAATATGAAGAAAGATCAAAATTTCGTACTACTAAATATGATGGAGATTCAATTTATGAATGGAATATAGACAGTAAAGCAGAATACGAAGTATTAAATAATCTGCAAGAAATGGGAATGGCTAGATTAGCTTATAAAATTAAAAATATTCAAGAAAGAAATATTGCAACATTATTAGTTTCAGGATTTACGGGACAATTAAAAAATTGGTGGGATAATGCTCCAACACTTCAAGATAAATTATCAATATTAGATCATACGCAAGAAATTGAAGATGATCAAGGAAACATTCAAATTCAATCAGATGCTGCAGAATTTTTAATTGTAACCATAGTAATATATTTTATAGAAAATCCAAAAGAAGAATTAAATTCTAATAAAACATTTTTAACAAATTTAAGATGTCCAACATTATCAGACTTTAGATGGTATAAAGATATGTTTTTAACTAATGTATTAAGAAGACCAGATTGTAATGCTTCATTTTGGAAAGAAAGATTTATTACAAGATTACCAAGTTTATTTTCACAAAGAATAATGGATAATTTACAAAGAAAATGGGAACAGAGGTTATTTCATTCGAAAATATTACTTTTGGACAATTATTTGCTTTTGTAAAAAAGGAAGGATTACTGTTATGTTCAGAATTAAGACTTCAAATAAAATATGGTTCAAAAACAAAAGAAGTAGGATCATTTTGTGATGCATTTGGAATTAAAAGAATTAAATCACCATCTACATACAAAAAGAAAATTAAAAAATATAATAAGAAATTAAGATATAAAAGATCTGAAGAAAACAAACCAGAAGAGAAGAGAAAATTTATTAAAAAGAAAATTGTTTGTTATAAATGTGGAAAAATATGCCATAAAGCGAACACATGCAATCTAAAAGAAAAAATTATTGAAATTTGTGCAGAAGAAGAAGAGATTAAAAATAAATTAATAAATCTACTAATAAATGAAAAAGACCAAAGTTCAGAAGATGACTTTTATAATGATATAACTAGTTCAGAAAGTAACGAAAATTGTAATTGTTCTAAATATATAAATGTTATAACCAAAAAAGAAGATAAAGAATTTTTGTTAGATATAACAGAAAAAATTAATGATCCAATAGTTAAAAAAAATATTTAGAAAGATTAAAAAGTTTAATTATTCAAGAAGATAAAAAAGAACCTTTTAGCATTTCGAAATTACTAGATAAATACCCAAATGTTATGAGTGGCAAAATCTAATAGTGATCTATGATAAGATGTAATAAAGTAAAGTTTTAATGACAAATTATCCTCTTGTAATATGGGTTGGATAACAGATTGCATAATGGAATTACCCATATAATCTTAAACGCTCACCCTCACGACCAAATGGTCAAACACATGGGTTGGCTTTTTAGTGTATAAAAGTTTTAAAAAGGCATTCAATATTTTGATAGTTTTATCCTTTACAGATGATGGTGATGTGTAGAAAATGATGACATAAATGTACATGCAATAAGTAAATTTATGTAAATTATTTTTATTAAATAATGTTTTACTTTCTTATGATAATTCATGATAGTCAAAAAAAATTTCATAAGAGAATACCAATAGACTAACAGGAATTATTAAGAAGGACAGATAAAGAAAAATATATAAATACTTGATTTCCATTTATTATGATAAGAAGTTATAGCTAAAAATTGAATATTTTTTCAAAAAAAATAGTATGTTATTTTATGTGACACGATATCATTTGAATTTTATGTAAGCCATGTTATAAAATAGTAATTTCTAACTAATATATTTGGTTGATTTCATAAGTTTAATTGGAGTTTAATTTGTATTAATATGATATTTACAAAAGTATTAATGATTTTAATTTTAGTTTTACTATCAACAAGAGTCAGGCAAGCGTCAGATCAAGTGTCCAAAGTAAGGGTCGTTAAATAACACCAAATTACACACACACACACACACACATATATATATTTGATTTCCACGAATAACAAAAAATGGAAATTGCATACTCATAAGAAGTATTTCACTTTCATTTTTTTAATATTCAAATATATTAATATTTTGTTGTGCAAAACACTTATATAGCATAAGTAACTAAAAATTTATCAAGTAAAAATAATTTCTGTAATTTTTGTAATTATTTACACCTGCTATTGTATTATCATTTCTTAATCATTACAGAATTCTTTATAAAAAAATATAATAATGTAATTTATTAAGGAGAAAACTATCAAAGTATTATGTATGGAAGAGCATGGCTATCCTTTCATATCTTACATGCACAAAAATTTAACCTACATTTTTGACCAATTGATTATAAGGGGTAATTTGTAAGGTTTTGAATTATAGGGAACAACCTGTTACTGAACCTATATTATGAGGGGCAACTTGAGATTAAACCTAAAATAAAAATTATAATAATTTTTTTAGATAGTTATTCATAGTATTTGGTTGTTACTAACATAATTTGTAATTTGTAATTTGTAATAAGTCTAAACAAAATTTTTTTTCTGGACAGGATTGTAGTATTTTACTTTTGATTATAAGCATAAAAGGAAAACTTCAAACATTGTTGATTTTTTAGAGTATAAACTAAGAAATAATACCTTAATATTGAAAAAATGGCTCACAAAAGACTTGCATTGAAACTGAAAACGAGCTTATGTTATTCATTCTGACAAACAATTCTTTAAAAAATCTCAACAAAACTACTTGATAACATAATCTCCTACTCAGGACCAGAGAGGACCGACTATCATTACTAGGGTATTACTTTTCCAAGGAACGGCAATGGCGGCGGCTGTTATCAGAGACTGCTTGAAGTGGAGATCTGCACTTGGTTCTTTAATTGAACAAGTCGATGTTTTCGTACCCCGACTTCAGGTGTATGAAGTGCCCGGAGACTTCCTGTAGAGCAGAGAGACACTGATGGAAGCGCTTAGGCGCCTGCGTTCTGATGCTGAAGATCTTTTAAGAAAATTCGCTGTACTTCATGATCGAATGGAACGAAAACTGAAGATGGATGTAATTGTGAGTAGAGTGCAATCAACCATGAGCATGAAGAATGAGATCCTCCGACTTCTGTCGGAGACAGATGAAGTTGTTGCAGATTTGAACCAAAAGGCGCTTCTTCTGGACGGCGATGATGCCGTTCCGGAATCTTTGGATTCGGAATTGGAGGACTTGATGCGGAGGTTGAGCCGTAAGCATCAGCTGCTCACGGTGCTCAATGAACGAATCCGGGAGATGGGCGGATCTGAAATAGTATTCGTGAATCCTTCTTCCGCTGGCGCTATGATTCCATACGTGGAACCTGCTGGTGTTGCCGCTGCTGTGGCCGCCGTCGAGTCCCCAAGACCCTCTGCTGGGGAGGGGGTCGCTGACACCGAGACAGGGATGGCTTCCGTGATGGGGCCACTGGTACACAATGTACAAGGTTTCTTGGGTTTTTTAGAAGGCGGGCGAGCTAATCCATAAGTTGTAGGTCCAGTGTTCAAATTTGCGTTGGTATCTGTTTTGATGTTTTTTCTGAGGAATGGTAATCCATAAGTTGTAGGTCCAGTGTTAAAATTCACGTTGGTATCTGTTTGACTCTTCTTTAAAAAAAATAATAATAATAATAATCTCCTACTCAGCAAATCTTAACTAAAATATTTGTTAACAAATTAACACAATCTTTGGTTAATAAATATCATAATAACAAGATTTATTTAACTACTAACTAAATTATTCTAATGCTAAATAGAACCTAATAAAATCTATAGGATGATTGGCATATCTTAACACTTCTCCTCGCCACTTTTGTTGCAGATTTTGAATTACAATCTTTGGACCTTATTTCGGACAAGACTTTTGTAAGAAACTTTACTCTAATAATTAGCCTTGCAATGAATTTATTCTTTTGCCCTTTTATGGAAGCTGATGATTTCTTTGATGTATCTAAATATACTTTTCATAAGTTCAAAGTGGAGCACCCGTCTACGATATTTTAACCTATATAAAAAATATAAAATTCTACATGTTTA